AGTCAATCGAAATCGAGCAACTGCCGAAGCACAAAACCAACCATCGCTTTTCAAATATACTATTAAAAATATAGAATCGAATAAAGCTCTGCCGACCGTATGCAAATAGTAAAGTCTCTAGGCGACCAAACACAATCTGATTGGTCTATCTAGCGAGACCTAAATGCTTAAAACTATGCCTGCTAATTTGCACGAGCTTACTCAATTCCGACGGAATGATGAATGCGACAGAATGATTCGAACATAAGTAATCGGGCGTTTTCCATGAAGTCTTCAAAACAGCCAGTAAGAAAGAAGTCGTTTGGAAGTACCTGAGATAAGAGTAAATCCAAGAAAGGGAAAGTTTAATTTAGGCAAAGCAAATATAAGCAATGACGAAGTACGAGTTTCACAAACCCCAAGCCTATTATCAATTGTATATGGAATTTTAATGAGATACTTTGTTAGACGTAGCTCTTAGGCAGTATGATAGATGCCTTGAATAGAAGTATTGCCAAAAGTAAAAATAATCATCTTTGAAAGAAATTAATGTAGCAAAATACAAAACTTTTAGCAAATAAGTGGCGATAGCAGGACGTCTCATTTATTTCGTAGGTATGCAGGTGATTCCACCACATAAACCCACCAACGAAACTAATAAATTCCTAAAAAGCACCAAGTAAAACAATGAAAGGAATGTCAAGGTAATTGTTATCTTGTGTTAGCTGATGAAAATATGCTTCATTTACGACAATCGAATGCACGTACCCACTTGAACATAAATACGTTCTGAGTGCTGGGTTAAAAAGGTTTTTTAAGAGTCGAGAGGGAGTTAATGTGAGTTTTGAATGAACCCTTATGGTAAAATGGTAAGGAGTAAAGCTTGCCGTAAATGTATAGACTGATGTAAAAGCTACTAAAAGCCAAAGCCTAGTCAGAAAAATGCAGATATAAATCAGTGGCATTTTACCTAAAATATAAGAAGTAAAATGAATAAGAGGATTTAGACTGTCTTGAAAAGTTGATGTATTAGCACTTAGACAAGAATTCTATATTTGAAAAAGTTTGTTGACAATTATGGAATTAATATGGGCACATTTCTTTTTACGTGTGAATGGAATAAGATTATCAAGCCAGTTTATGTTAAGAAATCAATATGGACGGTATATATTAACTTTGAGCGCTAAGTATAGAATTACCAAAAATATCTGACATGAAATCCAAAACATAGTGACTAATCTGCCCAAAATATCTAAAAGCTTCTGTGTAATTTATTGTTCATAGCTATAAAGATAAAAATAACGTAATTGAACATGGCTTCAGTCAGTAATAAAAGACTATATGTCCTTTATATAGACTGAGTTTTGTATTAAACTCTGAGGTAAAATCATACCGTTTTACAAAGTTTTAACTTCTCTTGCATTCCATCAAAGTCAAATTTCACATAAAGACAGGAAATAAATTTTGTGACAGGATCCTGGTATGAATAAGCCCATTGCTGCACCAGATGGACAAGATCTTTAATCAAACTTTTTTTCTTTTGATCATTTGATATAAATGATTGCCATGGAAATAACAACATGAAAATGTGTGTGAATTTATCATTACTACTACGTGCCCTCCATATGGTGTGGTAAAACGTTCTACAATGAATTTTGCCCTCACCTAGTATGCATTTTTTTCTCTTAATCTTAACCCGAATACAAATAGTCTGAGTCGTTATTCCTCTCTCATGAAAGGATTATGATAAATAGCTTATCATTTAGATTAATAATTGTGAAAACAGTTAATTTTTAAACGAGTCGATAATAAATTAACTTATCGACATTACAGACACCTAGGTGACGAAAGATGTCAAGACCAAAGGTTCACAGTAGTAAAGAGGAAAAGCTAGCCAATGGAAGTTAAAATCCTGAATTCCCATTACTTCGAAAGCATAATGTGCACATTAAAACTAAATTGGTGCAATTTAGCACGAATAAGACTAGTAAGACTAAGCATGCTCACAAACAAAATAGCAATAAATTCAAATTATAACGATTTGTCTGCGGGAAAATAAGTTAATGAATTTTAATGAGCAGGATAGAAGCTAAATAAGTGCAGAAAGATAAAACATCGCCGACCACTACCTATAAAGGACAGATAATTCAGTAAGATTATAACAAACTGTCGTCAAGACGTATGAGGAAGCATCGGGTGTAAGGTCTGATGATGAACTGACACTATTGTAATGACAAGACGTAGATGAAGTAAGATTATGTGAAAACATTGTCAATAAGCGAAAGCAATATCAAACAAATTCTACAGTAGAGCATAGACACATGGCCTTAGTAATATCATATAGTAACAATTATATCTGGAAATAAATTAATAGAAATAATAAACAGAATTTATAAACGATTGAAAACCTATGATCCATGAGAGGTAACCTATATAAAAGTATGGTAGTATGATTGTGGCAAAAAGTATAGGAAATGTAAATTGTCTCGAATTACCAAAAATATCTGCTATACAATCCAAAACAAAGCTGCTAGCCCGCCCAAAATATCTAAAAGCTTCTGTGTAATTTATTGTTCATAGTAATAAATATAAAATAACATAATTGAACATGACTTCCATCAGTAATAAAAGATTATATGTCCTCTATATGAACTAAATTTTGTATTAAATTCTAAAGAAAAAATCATACCGTTTCACAAAGTTTTAACTTCTCTTGCGTTCCATCAAAGTCAAATTTGACATAAAGGCAGGAAATAAATTCAGTGACAGGATCCTGGTATGAATAAGCCTCTTGCTGCACCAGATGGACAAGATCTTTTATTAGACTTTTTTTCTTTTTATCGCTTGATATAATTACACAGACCGTAAGATATCGGAGGAGATGCGGCGCCAAAGTCTGAATTGCGTTTAAATGCCTGTAAAAGAATAAATACTAATGCCAGCAAAATTCAGGTAACACGTCAAATCTTAAAGGTCTCGATATAAATGTCCCAGCGAATAGACATTCTTAAAACTAGCAATAAAAAGAGAACTGTGAATCAAAGGTCTGGTGATGGACTTAGCAGCATAATTAATTGATTAAGTATGTGAATAAATCTTTGTTCGGGGAACAATAGGCTTGATAAAAAATATATACAATACATTAAGATAAAAAAGGATGAATTTTCCAGAGAAACTATAAATAGTGATGCTGCTAAGAGAAATATAGGTTAACTTAAGCCCAAATAGCCAGTTCTGATAGCAAAAAGTAATACGGCTTATCTACATAAAAAATATATAGCTTAGTAGTTTGACCTTGTTTTCGCAACTTGATCAAACTTCTACACACAAGATGAGACTGCCAACAAACAAAAGGCCGTGCCATCTTGGTCTTCATATCTTAGATATTAAACAAAAATCAAAATCATGCTATTTTAGTTACGTAATAGCTTATAGGCAACCACTTTGGAAACATACACACATACACATATAAGCATATAGTGAATTTGCTAATAGATCTTCATCCATTTGCGCGTCCATACGAATCCAAGAAATAAATATAATAGAGCATTTTAAGAAACTTATAAGAAGCGTAGTCTGTTCTAATTAAAAGTTAACATATTTTAATATAGGA